AGCAGAAAGAGAGTGGGGGATAGGACGGAGCCCTGGGGAACGCCGGCATTCACTGACATGAACCGCGAACTGCTACCATCCGTAAGGACACGAATTCTACGCTCATGCAGGAAGTCAGCTACCCAAGAACAGAACTGGGCTGGCAGACCGTATGCCGGAAGCTTGGAGAGAAGGCTTTTGTGCCAGACCCTGTCGAACGCCTTGGCAATGTCAAGGCTGATAGCCAACGACTCGCCACGCTTGTCGATAGCCTCACCCCAGATATGAGTTAAGTACGCTAGAAGATCACCCGTCGATCGTTTCGGTCTAAATCCATATTGACGATCATTAATCAGGGAGTGATCCTCCAGGTAGCGGGTCAGATGGTTATTAAGGACCTTTTCTAGAACTTTACATAAAACTGAGGTGACTGCTATTGGCCGATAGTTTGCCGGGTCTGAGCGATCCCCTTTTTTGGGCACCGGTTGCACGTTAGCATCTCTCCAAGTCTCCGGCACACGCCCCAAAGAATACGAGCATTGGTACAAGCGCGTGAGCACGGGAGACAACTCCGCTGCACATTTTTTAAGTACTACTGCTGGGATGCCATCAGGTCCACTAGCTTTCCGGACGTCGAGTGATTGCAATTCGGCACGAACCTCACGCTGCCTGATTTTAATATCAGGCATCGTTGTGCCACAGTGAGGTAATGATGGTGGCAGTGCATTGCAATCATCGATTCGGGAGTTAGCCGCAAAGAGTTTTGCCAGTAAATCGGCTTTCTCCTGCGGCTTATGAGCTAGTGTTCCGTCTGGGCATCTCAGAGGTGGCAGCGAGGGCTGGCAGAAGTTTTTTTGCACGGCCTTGGCCAAACGCCAGTAGCTACGGGAGCCCGCAGGATGCGTTATAAGTTCCTGGCCAACACGCTGGGCATCCGCTCTGATGTAAGCCTTCTTACAGGCCTTGGAAGCAGAATTGTAGGCTGCTTTAAGTGAATCGATCCCGGGATCCTTGAGAGCGCGGCCTCTGATCCAAGCACGATATGCCGCTTGCTTACGCGAAGCAGCTTCAGCACAGTCGTGATTGAACCAGAGGTTACGTGTGCCCTTACTGATGAGATCAGAATGAGGAATATAGTATTCCATACCCATTATAATCTCCTCAGTAATGGCAACGGCACTGCCCGATAGGTCCCTGTCACTGAAGCAGCGCTGCTTCCAAGGGACGGACGCAAAGTAATCACGCATACCGTCCCAATCTGCCGACCCATAATGCCAGATACGGCGCTTGACCACTGCTGGACGCGGAGGCTTGGCCTGTGGTGCTTTGGCAGATATCAGGCAGTGGTCGGACGAGCCCAGGGGGGCTCTTACCACAACCTGATAGCCCTGTGGATGGGTCGTGAGCAGAAGGTCCAGTAAAGAAGGCGCTTGACTTGGAATATCTGGGATCCTGGTGGGCTGATCAACCAGTTGCTTCAAGTCATGCGTGAGAGCGAATGTGTGAGCAGAGATCCCTGCATGGTCAATTTTGGAAGAACTTAACCACAATTTGTGGTGAGCATTAAAGTCCCCCAAAAACACCAATTCTGCATTGGGAAATCGCTCCTGCGCGTCATCTGCTGCCCGACTAAGGTGTTCAAAAAGTCGAGTTGTCTCAACATCGCCGGTGTGGGATCAGATCTGATCTGATTGTTCCGATATTGTTCCTGCTTGTAAAAGGCATGTTAATGAACTGCGCATGAAAGCCGGTAGGAAAAATATAACGATCAATAACATATTTTTTAATAGAAATCTTCTATGTATCTTGTTTTCTTTAACCACCTTTAATAATGGCCAATATTTATTATAATATTGAAATGTGAAGCATAGCTCAGATTAATACAGGGCCTGTTACTGATTCGAAATCGGTAAGAATTGGCCCCGAGAACTAATTCATACTAATTACATGCAGCAGTAGTCTTGACGTCGGCGCTGTACTGTCTCCAAAATAATTTGCGCTATGTCAGCGTCTGTAGGCTTTGATGGCCGCTTACCAGTAGGCGGGACATAAGCTTGTTTACCACCCTTTAAACATTATATATAAAAAAAAAATGTCTCCGCTTACCATTTCGTGAAAAGGGCGTGACCTTATATATTATGCATAATTAAACTAGGGAAGGATAAAGAAACTAGGGGCCTAGGGAATAGTAACGCCGAACGCCACACATATTATACCGGCAAGCAGCCGCACTTGTAGGCTAATCATGAAAACATAATTAACTCTGTAACACATGAAAGCGAAACCTCTGCAGAGGGAATGGGGAAACGTGATTTACTTTTTTAATATACTCGAATACGTTCCAGCGTGCTCTTTTGCACGTTGCACTAAGTTTTTCCTATTGGGACGATGACGGAGTAAAGTAGATGTAATTTTATTTAGTCCGTCAGTGAGATTAATAAAAAACAATATGAGAACTATATATTTGTGCCGTTTGGTGTTGAGACTATGGGCCCACGGCCCAAACGCTCGTTCCCTTTTTAAGGAACTGCCAAAGAGGCTCACTGAGGCGACTGGTGATCAAAAGACTGGTAGCTATCTAGGTCAACGGATCAGCATTGCCATCCAATGTGGCAATGCTGTCAGCCTATTGGGTAACATTCCTGACGGCGGCGCTGGGGGTGACATATTTTTTTATTTTGTAATTTATATATTATTTAGGTAATTAAGTAGGTTAAGGTTATTTGGAATGTAAATATTAGTAATCATGTACTTTTTAAGTATTTGTTATTTAAATGTAAATATGTGTAAATATACAAAGTTATCCACCATATGAATAAAAGCTTTTAAAAATATATCTCTGTATTGTTTTTATTATGTGAATGAAGAGAAAATGCGTGTCCAATACTTTTTGATAATCTACCTGATAGACTAAGAAAAAAAGTTAGCCATCATCCCGATTAAAACACTTTTCACTGTGTGACATGCTTTTTCCTCTCATAACTCTTCCAATGTAACATCTGTCATTGATCGAGATTGGCCATATTGGCAACGCAAGATTGATTGTCTCTTACATCCACAAGATCGGTGGAGAGAGATATTTTGGGAACTGAACAGATGTCAGAGAAAAATTGTGGAGCTATGTGTGAAACCTATATACATAATATGAAACTTTGTACATATATGTAAGTGATATTCCTTGGGGTGGCGTAAGCACATTAAATATGGAAACGAACTCAGAAAGATACAATATGGGTACATTTGTATGAACACACATAGGCTAGGAACTCACGGAGTGTTTCTTCCCGCATCCGCCGCGGACGGCCGCAGAGCTGTTTTATTTTAAAGCTCACGAGACCGCAGTTTTCTGCGTTTTCGCTGCCTCCAGGGCAGTGAGATCAGGCGAAACCCGCCGCGTCTGCAGGAAATCGCATCGTGAAATTAGTTTTCACGTTTTACGGTCCCGCAGCCGTGGCGGTCGCGGGGCACGTCTTGAGTTCATAGCCAAAGTACCCCTAATCCATATAGTACAAATCAAACGCATTCCCTCAGCGTACGAATCGCTTTGCAACTAACTTATAACCTGAAATTTTAGGAATCATAAAATCAGCAAAACATTCAAAACAGATAAAATTCCATGAGCATCAAATGATATAAGAGCAGATATGTCATAAGCGCGGCGAAAACTCGAAAACGATATATTCGATATTGGTTCGTGCTAAGGGTACTGGTAATATTAACCAAGTAGCCCGCCCTCATTTCGCTTTTGTGTAGGCCTTAATTTTCACACTAGTTTAGGTCAGTGTTGTGACTATAAGGCGCGAGCCGAGCGAGCAAAGCGAGCGTGCCGCGGCAGCAATCGGCGAAGCGCCAGAAAAAAAATCGTTAATAGAGACCTTTTCTACAAAAAAAAAATCAAGTATCACCTGTTGGGCCTTGGAAGTACAGTTTTACCGTATTTCGTTGCGTGGCTTACGAGAAACCGGAAAACATACAAGTGACTATATTTTATGCTTATTGAACGGCAATCATCGAAAGAACAAACAATTTAATTTGTTCCCTAAAGCCAATAAAGGGCAACATTGAAATTGGAAAGGGAATGAATTCTTTGCGGAGTAATAAAGAAACATACCTGTACCTAATAACAGGTTGCCAGGACAAATTGAGCAAGTTCTTCATTTCCTAAGATTTATTGTTGTTATGTTTTTATTTTTACTTTTTTAATCATTTAACTGCGAGACGTTTAAATCTAAAGAAAAGTTTTAATAGAAAAAAAAACCACGCGGACCAGGCAGCAGACGGGACTTGAACTCGCACCCTTCACAATCCGGGCGAATGCACTGAACAATTATGCTACCGCGACCCTGATGGCCGCGTCGAAATTTTCCTATACTTAAGCTGCAAGGCAGCGCCATCTGTTCGGATTGTAGGTAATCCACCATGTCAAATGAATACTTTTTCAAGTTTTAAACATTTCATTGGGTTCAAGTCCCGTCTGCTGCCTGGCCCGCGTGGATTTTTTATTGTTGTGTTTGGAAATCAACAAGGTAGTTTGGAACGAATTCCCGTTTTGGACGGTATGGGGGATGGAGGCGAAGCGATATTTTTTTTTTAGATTTTTCCTAAGCTAAGCAGGTGAGTAGTTGGAAAGGTAGCTTGGTGGGCGACAACTCAAAGCGGTGTCTGTGGACTTGATTTAAAGTTTTGTTTGTGGACTTGGCTCAAAGTTTTGTTTAATATGTAGTTTGACGGAATAGGGGAATAGGGCCATGAGCCATGACCCACCACGAATGCACAGTGCAGATTGATGAGTAGGATATTTTATTAAGGAATTGGGAGATTGGGCAATGACTCGCTACGCGGGTCAAGGGCGGATTAGTGGGTGGTATATAAATAATATTTTTAATTTTTGTGATGGAATAAAGAGATCAGTCTAAAACAAGCTACGTGGGCCCAGCGCGGATTGGTGGGTGGGATATATATAGTTTTATCTTTGTTCCAACTGAGTTCCACGGCACTTACGGTTGCTTTTTTTGTTGCAGGCTCAAAAACAAATCCAAGTCGGAAACCGAGGGGAATTGTAGAACCAAGGCGGCGGAAATCGGTGAGTGCGGCTTGAGAGTTGCTAGACATTAATTAATGGTCCTTTTTGGAACACTGAAATAGTTATTTGTCTCTGTTTAGTTTGGCTTAACAAAGCAAAGTTTGCTCAAAATTTCCGTTACTAATGGACTATTCTTACTAAGTTTTGGAAGTTTTGAAAGTTGTAACTACCTACGTGTAATATTCATATTTCACAATTAACTCCTTATTGACCAAATCTATACCAGATGAAAATGTATTTTTAATTAATAATAACTTTTACTATACTTATAAATACAAAAATATATTCCATCAAACGCAAAAGCCATACGGTTAGAATTAAAAATATGGCCCTTAAGATATACGGTTACTTAAAGTGCTAAGCATTTCACTTATGAAACATAGTATTATAAATCTACGTATGTATATAACTAAAACGTGAGGACGATTTACATTGTAATTATATAGGTAGCGGGAGCGTTAATGCAAAGATCACACAACAGCTTTGCTAGCAGCCTTCTTCTTTCTTCTCTACTACAAACAAACTTTGTTTGTAGTTTACTAACTCGATTCCAGTTTTAATGCAATAGTGACTCTAATCACATCGAAGGAATAGGTAGTTATTTAGATTTTGAAACATTTACGTCATCCCGTCAGGTCTCTTGCCATCGTCACGAAATAATATGCCGCTAGGCTCGAGTACCATTGACACATTAATTGCGCATGAGCTGTGCGGGTAACGTCAATGATGCAAGCGTAGCGGGATACTCAGCGAGTACTCATTTGGCATAAGAGACTTAACTCACCGAAGTAAATACCGCATAGATAGCGATGTGGATGATTGGTCTTGACGCCACGTCTTAGTGAATTGGCAAGGGACAAAGTGCTCCTGTCAAGCAAAGTCCCCTATTGGCTGAAGCAAGAGCTTGCAGCCAGTAACCCGGCTCTGCCTGAAAGACTACAAAGAGGCGAGCACATTCAGCGGCCTTTTCAGAAGAAGTTAAAAGGTCACTCTGAAGACGCGACCAAAGCGGCTTGTCCTAATGCCTCAGAGAAAATAAGGCGAATAGTAGATGAACTCCCGGGAATGTCATAGACCAAGCATTTTTGGCCTCTGCTTGGTAGGCCAGCTCCACAATGCCTAAAGAAAGACATAGTATTTTATTAAAGAGCTCGGCTGTACCATATACATAATATTATTATTAGTAATTATTTACTGCAAGTAGCGTTTTCAGTAAAACGTAAACATGCTGCTTCAATGGATGGACTCTTTGAAGTTTTCTGTGGCGTGTACAGAATAATATTGCCCTTATTAATCTATGAACACCATCTATGTAATATCATGTTTTAGTCTTTTTAATGATGGTTTCATTGTTTTTGTATAAGATTGTAGAAAATGAGAAAATTTATCGAAAATTAAACCGAGGGATCGTGTAACAAAATTCAGTTCAATGCTTTGATCAAATTGAGAAATGATACAGATTTATCCTTGACAAATTTGGAGACGAAAATCGAGATAAAAACCAGTTGAGCTGATTATCCATATCAGATAACTATTCATTGCGTTTGACAAGAAGTCAGTTAATTAAGTCGATTTACGTACACCCGTCTAATAGTAGGGGAGCCCACGTTGTGAAATAGGGATTTACTCGAGCGTCATTAGGACCTATTGGATTGTGAAAGTAAGATACTAAAAAGAAAGAAAAAAACGACGGGTTGCACTCCGGGAGTGCCGGCAGAAGTGAAAGCTTCAATATTAACGTTGTGCATTTTTGATATTTTGGAATGGTTAGGGAATAATTTTGCACGAATTGCTTTAATTATCAGTATAAAAGTACTTTCATGTATATGGTAGAATACAATATTTATTTATTGCGCTATCGTACACAAACATGACAATTTATATTACATTAAAAAAGTTTATCTCTCTGAAAAATTAACTTACATGAATCACATTTAAGCGCACCTAGCGACATCTATTGTAAAAAAAAATATTTTCTTCGCAATAAAGCTGCCACGTGGGCGTCCTAGATAGAGTATTATTATTATAATACGATAAAATAAAATATTACTATGTTTCGTCCAATATATTGAAAGTCAACACCCTTTCCAATTTTATTGTGTGTATGCGGTCAGCCCACGTGTTTAACCAGAAGCGAGTTTAACATTTTTACCCATACAAAAAAATTAGCTAAAGAAGTTTTCACTTCAAAATGCAAGGTTGCTCCCCTTATGTTAATCTGCCGCGCTCGAATAAATTCCAAAATCCCCGCTTGGGCTCCCCTACAATTCTATAAACATTTGATCGGTATAGTTGGGCGTATCTATCAATGATTGTTTTATTGGCCTTTTAAGATTCCTAATCACTCTTTCATCTTCATGAATTGCAAAAAGTTAATACTCTCTGATTGTATTTGGTTATCATTTGCTAGTTTCATGTTATAATTGAGTTTTTCGGGATTGTTTAATATTAAGTACAAAGCTAGGTAACATTAAAATGCAGGTGCACTTTTTAGGAGGTTGTCGCCAAATTTCTGTATCAAAATAAAAAAAAACAAAAATATATTAATTCACCAATACAAATTTTTACTTAGATGACAATTGAACAGTGGTTTTTACACTAAGCTGAGCTCGTAACGCAAAGACCTAATATTGCAGTTTTACTAAATGATATCACGCACGCCACATCAGCTACCTACCTAAGGAACTGCACACCACTCATACTGAACATGAACTAGGTGAGAATAATATGCTAGGAATTGTACTATACACGTTACAAAAATACGATTTTGTAGCATTGTTATTACATCACAAATTTCACTTGATAACGACTCGCAAAATTTCACGAAAGCACTCCCCGTGAGCGCTTTATCGCTCTTTGTTAAAGCCAGAATCTCGTCTCATACATTTCGGACTTCTGTAAATTATATCTCCTGGTTGTGATTTTAATATCCCCCAGAATATAATGAATACTTTTTGTTTGTTGCCACAGAGAACGTCGAGCCTGCGCCGCCTCGGGCCGTAGCCGAAAAACCGTTTTTACTCTCCGATGGCAGGTAAGAGTTTTAAAAGTTTTTTAACGCTTATTTTATTACGGAATGTTTGTTGTGCTTTGGCGCTTAAAAGCGTTGGTGCTCGAAAAGTACAGCTTTGTTTTAAGGGTTCGTGTTCAAAGGTGATAACGGAGCCCATATTACTAAACCTCCGCTATCTGTCGTCCATCCGTCAGCGTTAGGTTAAATTTTGTGACCACGCAAAGCACCGCGAGCTTAACTTGGTACATGAGTTGAATAAAACTGTCAAGTCGATCTCGCGCACGCAAGGTTCCATACGATTATCTATATAATACTCGGCACTTTATTATGATATCCAGAAAAAAACGGCAAAAAATCACGTTTGTTGTAAGGGGGCAACATACAACAGACGCGACTTTTTTTTTATAATAAATGATTCCTTTATTTTTTTACTTAATTATTTCTTTTTAAAGTGAATACACAACTAAATATTCTGGGAATATTTCAGGTTCAATTTCATTTCTGTTGCCGTTATCACGCAAAAGCGGCAAATAATCATCTCTGTTGTTTTTTGGTTTTTGTTTATTGTTCATCTGTGAAAATTTCAACAATCTAGCTATCAAGGTTCATGACATACAGCCTGGTGACAGACAGACGGACAGTGGAGTCTTAATCCTTTTTTTACCCCGGGGACGGAACGCTCAATAGCTACCATAGCTGCCTGACTGATAGATCTGTCATCGCAAAGCTCAAACCAATGAACGGATTGCGCTGAAATTTGCCACACATTGATAGTTACGGCTTTACCAAAATTAGTGTTTTTTTTTTATAAGGAGGTAGGCAAATGACTCTACCCCACCTGATGTTAAGTGGTGATAAAGTTGAAACGCGAAGATAACTGGTACAGCTATCTTCGCGCTGGTGGTCATTAACTGCTACACTAACCATCCTCACCTTGCCGGCATGCAAAAATGCTTCTTCACGCCTCTCTTAAAGGAACCCAGATTGTAGGAAGGAGGGAACACGTGCACGGGCAAAGAATTTCACTAACAAATTAATTTGGAATGAAAATTAATAAGAGCGTTGTTAATGTATCCACCAATGTTGTGACGACGTACTTCCTACTTAAAGGAGAAGGCTTTGATCTGATATTATCTATGATTAATAGAAGTGCAATCGATCAACAAGCGAATGTCTTAATGGAACTCCTGTTCATCAAGGTAACAATATTAATGAAGGTGCTAAGCGATTGCTTGTGGATGCTTAAGTGCTTTTCGTCACATACTATGTTATGCGAAAGTGTTATGTTATGTTACTTGGCACCTCTAATATTAACAACGATTGGTTATAATAGTACGAATGTAAACAGACGAGTACAATACTCTAAAAGTCTAAACACACCCATCGATTTGAGAGCGTCCTCCCTTTTGAAGTCTGCTAAAAAATTGAATGCCATAATTTTGAACATGTATTCATATTTCGCTATCCAGCCAACGATATTAATATCATTGTATCCAGCCGAATTATGCATCCACGGCACTGATGGCCGTGTCGAGTTGTCTCTAGCATTTCTTAGGCTGGAAACAGTACTCGACCGACGCGACGGTACGTCCTGACCGGCAGCGCTGACCGTCGGTTGCCAAAATGCATTCAGTGCTACGCTGACGGCGAACGGCGACGCGTGTGTACAGTTCACGAGAAAAATGAACCCTTTTGCTGTAATATGTGCAGGCTATTTTTTGGGCAAATAATTCTTTACAAACTTCTTGCCAAGCACTTATTTTAATATTACGGTCTTTATAAAATACATACGATAAATTGCAAAGTGCCGGACGAAGCAGCTCTTCAGTAATACCAATATTCATTTTTGCTTTGAGTGTACGTACGCGCGTACGGTCGGTCGCTCCGTCAGTGAAGCACTTGGTACGAGTTTTACATTTACGAAAACTATGATAGTTTTCGTTAGCTCGCACTCGTACTAAGGGTACTGATTTTATTGTTTTCATTTCAATACAAATTAAACAGTGTTTAAATTCTATCATTAAATCATTTGCGTCTTTTGAAATTTCAAGTATATTTGGTTGCTTTTCACCAAAATGGACATAGAAACATAATTTACAATTACGATAACTGTGATAGTTACATGTACAATGGCCCAATAATTAGGACTAGGTGCGGAAACCGCCCTGAAGAACTAACTAACAATAATTAAAAGGACATTATAGTTTTCTAGCATTATCAAAATACTAGCGGACGCCCGCGACTTCGTCCACGTCCACTTTAGTTTTTTCTCAATCCCGGGATAAGATGTATTCAGGTCATAAACTATATTGTCCCATTAATTAAATTCATAAACCCATTTATTGTCCCGAAGCAGTAGTAGCTATTAAGTAATACGGGACATGTAAAGCGCTTTTTATAAGCCTCTTTACAAAAAATAAATGACTTTCATGGCTACATATGTATATAGTCGTATATATACATATATGAATAAATTTCATCCAAATCCATTTAGTAGTTTTTGCTAGATCAAGTAACAAACATTCACATTTATAATATTAGTAGAATTAGCACTCTTTTGTTTTATTCTTTATTTGTATAGGAGCTTTGATCGACATTTTCGATCATGCCAGCTCCATCTTAGCCAAATCTTATTCACTAAATCAACTTAATACTAGAAATTGCAAATTTGATATTAATTTTAGCGGCATCTGAAGAAGGCTCAGCTAAGAAATTGCTCATATTACCAACATCTTGTTGCAAGCACTCTTAAGTTCAGTGACAGACTGATAACTTTTTCGAAGTGGTTACCTGCGTTGTTTAATCTTTATGTTTTTTTAGGAGCTTTGATCGACATTTTTGATAATACCAGCTCCATATTAGCCAAACCTTATTTACTAAATGAACTTAATACTAGAAATTGCAAAATCGATACTAATTTAAGCGGCGGCATCTGAAGAAGGCTCAGCTAAGAAATTGGTCATACAACCAACGTCTTCTTGTAATCACTCTTAAGTTCAGTAGCATACTGATAACTTCTTCGAAGTAGTTACCTGCGTTGTTTAATTTTAATGGTTTTTCTAGGGTGGAGTTAGAAGCTTGGCTGGACAAAGCAACGTACTCCCACGGTGAGCCGATCAAAGTGAACGTGGTTATAACGAATCATTCCTCGAAGACTGTGAGACGGATAAAGGTAAATTGTTAGCTTAGATATTGTTAAGCATTGGAATTCGTTTTTCATTTCATATTAATTCAAAGTTTATGTCTGCGACTTTTTAGTTTATATTTTTTATTTTCAAGCAAATGTTTAAATCGTTTTTAAGTTGACTAGTTGGCAGTGTCGAGTAACCAAATTTTTGCATACTCCATTACCTAATATCATTACAAGAATTACATGTTTCATTGTTTTGTTTCATAACAATTTCAAGCCAAGCAGTATTGCACGCAGGCGTTTACAACAATTGGTTAGCTTAACAACAAAATATCATCTTGAGGAAATTAATTAATTGAGTTCGCGTTTTTCTTTTTTCACACCTTTTGTTTCACGCGTTTTTCGTTTGTCCGCCTTTTGTACCATTCTATTGTATTTTGGTCAATAAAGTTTAAAATAAATAAATAAATAAATTAAACGATGACATAGTTCATCCACAATTTGAACCTTTAGTTCCAGTAGTCAATATATTTCCAAAAAAGAATTCTAAAATGAGAGCAGTGGAGGTGTTCACCGCGGATAAAAAGATTTATTTAAGAGATACGAGTATTAACAAAATAGTATTATTGCCTATTGATGCACAGTAAAGTTGTATTTTAATATAATTTGTTACGGCTGTTTAATGAGTATTTATACATAACAGTTTTATAATCTGTTGACAGTTCAAAACCACAATACTTAGGTAGAAGAAATCGTTACACTAACGGTTACGTGCCCGGTGACACTGATTGATTCTATTGCAGCGTTCATCTCGTCATTGGGTTTATTTGTTTGTTAAATTAAGCCAGGCTTTATCCGATGAAAGCTTGTTACACTTTTGATTGCTTAATAAATTCAGATGGACATGTTTACGCACATGAGTTGGGACAAGCGTATAATAAGGTCGTTTAGAATAAACATCCGAATACGCGAAGCGACAATCCAGTGACGTCAATGCTCTCGAAATATCTCGTCCTATATACGACGCGTACCTTCCTACATTAATTTAATTTAAACAGTTGGTTAGTCAGCTAATTAACAGCAGGTGACTGACCTATATCTTTTATCATTAACATGAAAATTTATGAAACAGATACCGGTAAACATCAATTTATTTTAACATACGTATGGTATGTAAGCATAAAGACGTTTGACCAGCCCCCCTAGCCTGATATGATGACCGTCAAACTACAATGGATTTTGATAGTTGAGTTTAAATTAAATGCTCAAACATTATCATGTCGGTGATCATGCTACGGGGGCTAAAGGTGATTAAAAATTTCAATTAAACAAGATATTTATATACTTGAAACTCAATCGAAGTTTCTTAAATGTCTTTCAAATTTCAAAGTGGTAGATATATTGATAGGAGAATAAATTTAATAATAAGGGGGATGATTGTTTAAGATACACGTAGGCGGAATCAACACACTGCGAACATTTATTTATTTCATTAACAGACTTTCTTCAATCGCTGTGTCAACATAATCGCTGTGTGATTTTTGACTCTCTTTATGGCAGATCTAGTTTGAACATGCACTGAACCTCCCTAGAAAATGCCTCTGCTATCATTTGCTCTAAACGGAGCATCAAATTAAATGAACTATTGAAATGTTAATTTCACAGTTAACTAAGAATTTAAGACTTGCCAGCGAAGATAAAGTTTAGGCCTCGTTTAGTCTGAATTAGTTACTTTTAGTCTCCTCATTGATTGTCCTTGTAAACTTACATTCAATTATAAAACTTTCAACGACTATTTCCCCCAAAAACAACATATGAAATAGATATCATCTTCAGAATTAATTTTCAGTGAAAACCCGGTCCAGTTGAAATGTCTACTTAAATGGAAGTACAAATAAGTACATCCAAAAAAATTAATCCTCTCTTAAAAATTAATGCTTTTACCACCTGACTACTACCCGGTGTAAACGACCTTTTAAAAGGGTTACAGGTTCAGCGGTATTTTTAAGATAAACGCTTAAAAGCTTACCTACATAATTTATGTATTGGAGATGTTCAATGAATTATAAGGGCCCCGGTGGTCTATTAATATTACTGAAAAGAGGAAACCTTTTTTTTTAAATAATTATTTATGCCTTTGCGTTGGAAGACAACGAAGAATTGAGATGCCAATCCCGCCAGTCGGTCAGCATATTTCTAAGAATAAGAAAGGAGAGGGAGGGGTATTCTTAGGAAAACTGCCGGGTCGTTCACGAAATTTGATTTTTAATATTGACTTGAGCTAACAGATTCGATATTAAACTGTTACAGTATATTTAAGACTTTCATGAAATTATTTATTTATTTTTAAATAAACGAACTCAAATAACTGTCAAAATTTGCTATATACCAAGCTTAAATGAGTCTTAACTATTTATCGCCGTTTTTTATTCCTGAGGTTTAGCGAGTAATTAAATCTTTTCCTCACTCCTTAAGAGATTCACTGGATAATGGCCTTTTAGTTGCTTCAGGGCTTCGCATTGAATAGAAGCGGTCATTCAGAGGTTAACTTTTAAAACTATTTCTGTTTTCCTATAGAATTGACGTTTAGGGTTGTTTGAATTTGAGCGTAAAACTGTCGTATTTAAACTCATTTTCGATCTTACATGAAAATAGAACACAGACCTAAAATATCTAATAAATTTGTGTATGTGCCTATGTCGCCTTGTTGTTTTGCAACTACATACACTTCCAGCCACACCTATCGGTCCACCTAGCATTTTAAGTTTTGACGGTCTCTAGCTAAAAATAAATGTTACATTGAGCAAAAAGTTATTACCTACGCAGCTTTAAAGTTGATTTACTAACCATCGTTTCGTATGTTCTTAAAATAATTGCTCAACCAAAAACATATAATTTTGCTACAGACCGCTGAAACTTTTAAGAAAGCTTTTTAGAAACATAAGTGTAGTATTTCCATACAATATATGTTTTCTGAAAACCTAGAAAAAAACGGACATGTGTTGTTACATGTGATAGAATTGAAACCACCAAAAATGCGAACAAATAAAAGTCCTTCAGCTACCCGCGGCTTTATTTGTTACCAGCTATTTTTACTCTATTTCTTTTATTATGTGTTTCTTATCTTAGGGTTTTTCGAAATATTTATGTATAAAAAATAACTTTGAAAAAGTTGTAAACATTGGAAAGGTAAGGGTTGTTGATAAAAACCAAGCCTGTATTAATAAACAACTTACTAAGTACAACACCTACCAAACGCTTAATGCGTAACTGTTCAGATATTGTAAAGTACTGGGAAAATTAAAATATCTTATACTTAAATTTTTTCGAAAAATAAATAATAGCTTAATTAAAGAAAAGAAAAGATTGGAAAATCCAAAAGTGCACGCCTCACATTCACGAAACACAAACCCAGTAAATAAATTCCATTGAATGTCATTAATATCTTTAAAACGGTTATCAGTTTAATCATGATAAGAAATAAGGTTCATCTTTAGTATAAGTGGAAATTAAATCAAAAGGTTTTATTATAATTAATTGCGTATATTTTTCTAAAACGTGCAAACAAACAAGTGCACAGACCAAAGGACAGCAGTACTAATAATTTTTAGTTCCTTTATTTTTGTTAAATATACCAAAAAAATTAAAGAAAAATACTTGCTGACTTTATAATTTAATATGTCTAGTTTTCAAAACACCCTTTTTTATTGATTTAGTGTCTAACTTGGGAGATAAGAGCGATTTTATATTGTAAAATCGTCACATAGCGGCCTATCGAGAGTAAAGCACTCCTACACGCTTACGCGTTGTGAGGCGTGCAAAACAATTTAAAAAATAGCCGAGCTCAATATCGAAGCACCGTTCATTTGGTGTCGACCCCAAGCCCGTTACCGATCGGCTACCTGTCTCTTACAGAGAGTTACAAAATTACGGATACCTTGTGTCAAATTCTGTTAAATTTTCGTTTCATCGAGTTTCAAATCACAACGGTGCTAAAGAAGTTTTCACTTATAAAAAAACATTATTGGGCGCTTCACCTCCCAAACCCTTTGGCTTGGGAACTTTAGCGAAGTTTGTGGTTTCGAGATCCGCTTACCAGGATTAAAAGACCTTGAGGTGCAGTCCCAAGTCGTGTTACGTTGGAATGGTAATAAGATTCTATCCAGCACCTGTTATTACCCTTCTCCTTGAGTAGGAATCGCACAATGAACTTAAGCTAAACACGGAGCCTTTAGAGATGCTAATTGCATCTCCTCGGCTCAGTCGTTTAGACTAACTGCAACTAATTTAATATAGCCTGTAGTCGAGAAATTGCATCAATTAGCAACATAAATTAATTGATACAGTCTAAAGCCAAGAAATTGTACCAATTACGAGAGTTGACGGTACCTACGTCACTTCAGGATTCGATTCAAAAATACGCTAATCCAATAGATGACGAGTCTTCATATTTTTTTTCAATCTTCAGCGCACACTAGTCTTTATTGCAAACATTTTTCTTAAGCAAAGTTTTTTTTTATTTGGTTTGCAAAACCGAAATGTGAAAATGACAAAATAATTACATACAGTGTATCTTAACAGTATCACAAATCTTATAAATGCAAACACAGCATGCAGATATTGAGAGTTTTCAAGATGATTCACGTTTTGTGTTTCAGTCATATGTTTTTTTTCTTGTGATTAAGTTTTACAAACTTACAAACAGCCATCATAGACAACATCATGGAGTTTTGCTCGCTTCCTTACTTTGCAGAGTTCTTTATAAGGAACACGGCTTTGTTTATAACCACTTCTAAAGCAATATTTGTGATGTGAACAATTTAATTATGTTTGTGCAGACTCTGGTGGTGCAACACGTGGACGTGTGCATGTTCTCCAATGGGAAGTTCAAGAACGTAGTGGCAATCGTCAAATGTGGAGGCACGCCTGTTGTTCCGGGACAAATACACACAGACACATATACACTCACACCGCACAGAGGTGAGTTAAATGATTTTTATCTAATTTAATGAAGAATGGCGTATTATTAACAGTTTTTTTTTGTAGTTGTACTTAATATATATTCGAAATTAGTGTTGTTAAATTGTCCAAAGATTTTTTCACTGTTTCTTTCCACCACTATAAAATCCTCTTAAATAATAGTATCAAGAGAAAGATAACTATGATGGTCTAGTAAAAACCTATCTTATATTAGACTTCTAATTTGTTAGACATTTTTTACTGTTCCTAGAGCAAACAATATTTAATATATAGATATGAATTTATGTTTCCTCTGATAAGTAATATTGATAGTATATTTTCATTTTATCAGTTGATGTTTCTATGTTAAATGATATAGGTACCTATATAAGAATAGGTACTTTCCATTTTTTTGAAAACTGCTTATATTTAAAGATTGGGACAAACGATTTAACAGAAAAATGAAAATAAATAAATTAATGTCTTTCTTCTCCATTAAACCACTCCGTAACAGACGTCACACAGTAGACGTCATTGAACCGAGTGTTTTGGCGGTAAATTCAAAACCATTAAAAATAAATTCAGCTATAATTGGTGTAATGGAGAAAAAAAGACATTAATTTATTTATTTTTCTGTTAAATCGTTTGTCACAACTTTTAAATATAAGCAGTTTCAAAATTTTGGAACAATACCCTATTAATGAACATAGAACCAAACTTAACAACCATAAGAAAGAAAATTATTATTTAAACACAAACGCACCATATCTTTAATTAATTGGTACAGTCGCAGTTTATTTATCCTTCTTTGGTAAAACATTATATATCAATCATTTCTTTTTTTAGGAGTTACCAAAAACTGGATAGCACTAGAAGACTCCTATTCAAAATCTGGCGCAAGTCTTGCATCAACAGTAGTATGTAATAATACTCCTGAAGACAGAAACGTGTTTGCAATTTACGTATCTTACTATGTGAAAGTTAAACTTACCCTAAGTGCCATGGGAGGAGAAGTTTCAGTGAAACTTCCATTCATTTTGACACATTCGTGCATCAACGAAGCACCTACAGACAGCGTCATAGAAGAATCAACACCAAAAATGATTTTAGAAGCTAAAGAAAACAGTGAGGATGAAGACAGCAAAGCAGAAACGGAAAAAGATAAACAAAATAATAATGGCATTGAGGATAAACAAGAATCTGCTTTGGGTGATGACGCTGAAGTTAAGTCACCAGAAGACCACCGTTGCGTTGCCGATGTTCTAGTCAATATAGAAAATAAGATTGACAGGCCTAAGAAATTTGAAGGCACTGAAGTCAGGACAGTGAAACCTAATGAAGCAGAATTGGACCTTATAGTAAAATACCAAGGGTCAGATACGTGATCCGACGAGGACGGTAACATACCAAGCGATGCAAAGACTGAAGAAATGAAGGCTCCCGAAGCAAAAATATGCAAAGCAGAGGTCCAAAATACAAAGTGTGGTTTCACTGAAAATCTTAAAAGAGCTGTTTGTTGTATAGATAGAAGACGACAGTCGTAGTTTGTAAAGAACCTGTGTATATATGGAAAAATATTTTATATAAGTAGATTGATATTATGTCTTTAATGCCTTTACTACGTCAATGTTATGAAAATGAAAGAAACTGTTTATATTGCTAAAGGTTTTATCACATTTAATACAAGATCAATTTTGAAATTTTCTGTAATCGACGAGAAGCAAAATAGAATTTGATTGAGATTTACTAAAGGAGATTGCTCAGCTTCCATACATGTTTGGCCTAAAGACCAATAATCGTGAAAAATTGTTTCCTAGATTCGAAATTATATAGAAATTACTGTAGAAACGAATATTATTGACGGACACCCCTGAGAACTTCTATAAACCATATACACTGAACATATTAAATAATAAAAAACAAATAAGTTATATAGTAAACTAGGGAAATCAAGTCAAGTACCGAAATTATGGATTAGATTCAGGTATATAGAGCATGTACATTAACAGATAGTTGCCTGTTTTTAAAATTAATGCATAAGAGTAACTTTTAAAATCAGGTGACATTTCCGGTTATAATAAAGTATTCTGTAACAGAAACTGAGTGATGATTGTGAATGAGCCACAGATTAGAGAGAATTTTTAAACTCTCGTTAACCAAAGAAAGCTAAGAGATTTAGGTTCTATAGTATATATTCAGTAGCTTCATTATTTTTGTTATGTTTTTAAGATAACCATATTTTAGATTTTTAGTGTATCACACCTTATAATTTTATTTATTTATTAATTTATAGTCAGGGAACGCAGGCTCATAGATAGATACCTTAAAGTTTAACATATATACAGATTATAATGTATTTATGGAGGTGTTTGGCGAAAAATGTATGGCAATAGACTTTATGATGTCGCCTACCATCTATAATAATTGTCTGAGCACATTTGCATCTAGTGAAAATTATAATATAGTTGTGGATATTAATACCACAGTGTAATAAAAAAAAATCGATCTTTACAAAATAGATTTGTTTTTATGTTATATAAACAACTTCGATCAGTCTTTGACTGAATGTTACTACACCCATAGCCATTAAAAATGATTCGTATGTTTTCCAAACCGTTAAAATTCAAAGTCCTTTTTAAAGTAAATATATTATACAAAGGTGTCCGTTGAAATCTAATGACTGTAAATTAAATTATAAATTACGCCAAGAATTACCGTGTATGTTAATATTTTTTGTGCATTTAGGCCAATTTGAGCAATCTCCTTTATTATTATGATCCAGTATTGTATGTGTTAATATATCAATATTAAAATGTTGGCATCAACGCATTCCAGGCTATAAATAAAATTCAATTAAATTTATGTTGGTTATGTTTTGTTTTAACTATTTATGTGACCTTTTTACAAAATTCTTGTCCACACATCAGTATTTTAATTTGAATTGAAGTTTCTATTTTTTATAATATTGCATAAATAATAGTAAAAAAAAATCTTTAGCACTTGATGCATTTCCGTCGATATTTGTTAAACATTTTCATACAAAATTTTATTCATAGTAATATATGAAAGAAACAATAAACTTTGGGCCTTTTTTATTTTTTTACTAACATAAATATTTTGACACTTTAAGTTCCTTATTTTAAGTTCCATTGGAATATTCCAACGCACTCCAAGTCGCGCAGAAAAATCGTGAAATCGTCGATCATGAAATAATAACTGAAAAAATGTTTTCATTGATACTGTGGCATTATTTATTTTTTCTTCTTCAGGCTAAAACCAATTTAGGAGTTCCAACAACAAATAATCTTATCAGATATAAGAGCCACTGTTCATTTTACCAAGAATTATTCTGTAAGTAAAACGGTGAAATTTTATGTTGTAAATAAAAAAACAGGATGGACGTCGTAATAATCGTTTTTGCTAGTTCCCAAATTTATAAGAACTTATAATTTTCGATACTTTTCGGATTTTTATTTGCAAAAAAGGACTCCATTGACAAAAGACGTCCTCTACACTGCATTATGTAGTACTGATAGATGTTGTACTCGTGTCCAAAATCCGTTAATTAAGTGTATAAGTAAGTACCATTAGGTAGGTCTCAAGACTTAGCTGGTGTCACGAATAAGCCTGAATGGATGATACGCTTACTAAAATCTAAAGTGTTTTTAGAATAATTATAAATATGAAATAAAAATCATTATGTGCAATTTTATGAACATTTTTTAAATCGTATAACTCTGTCTGGTCATGTTTAGTTTATGTATATTGTATTTATGTAGACATTTAAAAAAATATTATATCCTCTGTGATGGGTAAGCGTTTGGTTTTATTTATTCGTTCATATTTATAAAAATAAATGACCCGGCGAACTTCGTGACGCTGACGACGAATGTTATCGTAAAAAAAAATAGTTTAATTAATAGTTATTTGGTCATCCATCCAATGACCGACCACTGAGAAAGTTGCTTAACTTCAACGATCGCAGCCGAACGCGCTACCAAAAATCTTCTATCTCGAGTTCCTCCGTGCTTCGGAAGGCACGTTAAGCCGTTGGTCCCGGCTGCATCTGCAGTCGTTAGCACCAGCCAATCCGCACTGGGCCCGCGTGGTGGGTCATGGCCTAATCTCCCTATTCCATCCATAGAAAGGCCTGTACCCCAGCAGTGGGGACATTAATCTTTTAATGAAGATATTTGTGCAGTAAGTTACAAACGAGTAGACGAATGTAATAAGCTCGAGATGAAGTCGAAGGCTTACCATAGTCACAAGTTTGTAAATACCAATTCCGCAAGAATGTCAACGTTTTTCCTAAAACCTAATTTAAGTAATGAAGCAAACTTGTTTTAATAAGAAAATGACGCAGTGGTGAAATTAAGAACTACATCTTTCGTCTCTGTTTTTTTTATTAAAGTGAAGTATTAAGAGCGCTTCCAACGATGTTCGACTGAAATAAAAAAAATCGTAAAGGATACGCAAGGTGCCATGTATGGCAGCGTGCGGTAAAACATTATGGTCCGTTGTATGGCCCGTTAATTTGAACTTTCGAACAACGTATACAACCTTCCTAAATACATTTTTTGAGCAAATGAGCTGAAAATAACTATTTTACAACCAAAACAAATCAAATAAAAAGCTCAGTAGGTTATTTATAAGCTTAATAGGTATAGAGAAGATGAAAATTCAATAGCGTGTACTTCAATGGCGTATCAGAGAAATTTGGAAAGCGGGTTGCCAGGTCTTTGACCGATATTCACCAAACACAGGCATCTCTTAATTTCTCAGTACCTTGAGAGTAAATGGTAAATGTGAAAACATCTGAACCGAAACCTTAATCATACATAACAGGATGCCAATTCCACTAAACTACTAGGAGAAAAACATCGGGGCCTACCTGGGGGCCATTCGCCTAACGGAAATGCTTTGGAAAACGCTAACGCTTTCGATTTTATTTTGTTATTTCTGACCCTAAGGTTTTCAAATACCTCACGCTCATTTTTTTTAATATTGTTATTACCAATGCAAAAGAAAAAAAGAGTGCGAGGCATTAGAAAACCTCTGTCGGCTAGAAATAACAAAATAATATCGTAAGCGTTAGTGTTTTCCAAAGCATTTCCGTTAGGCGAATGGCCCCCTGGGAGTCGCCCAGGGGGCAAGAGAGGGACTGAGAGAACTAGGCTGTTCCTCCCACTCACGCGAGAACCACGTGGTTGGCCCCGGGGGGGGGGGGGGACAGGCCCCTAATGCTCTGGGGCATCCTCGACCGGGGTGAACGTCCCGTTCGAGCCCTACTTCCAACACTCATTGCAAGGACCACGGTCCTCAAAATACGTGTCGGGTGAACGTCTTGTCTGCTCTTTTCATCGAGCCCTATGGCTGGAGGAAATGAGCAAGGAGGAGTCCCAGATACTTTCATCTCACTCCCCCGATGGTTGAAAGATGCGGAAGGCATTTTCCGGACAACATCCTAGCAGTACCATAATGGAACTAGATGCTATGGAAACTAGAAGGAATCGGTGAGTAAAAGTGGTAAAAGTAAGTAGGTACTAAATTAAGTATATAAGGTATGCTAATAATCCGTATATTGGAACATCTTACAATACAATAACAGTAGGGTTTGCCCAATGGTGCCCCATAGAACTAGTTTTGCGAAACGACATTTCTGCATTATTAGCTCCTATCTGTATAATGCAGTAAACAAAGCCTTAAAACATATAACCGCTACCTCTCCACGAATGCAAGGTGAAACTTAAAGACTGGCTGTTGCTTCTGAACTTTGATTTTCAAAAAGAAGATTTTCAGATTTGATTTTCAGAAAGTCAAACTACGTCTCAAACTTAAAATCAATCCGATATTATTATTTTTTTAAATACGAATGATAACCGACAATTTTTTTTGTTACCTCCAAGGCGTAAGTGGGTGTTAAAACCTCATGGATACCCCCTACAGCCAGCTGCAAGGTTATGTCAGACTCTTACGGACTAAAAGCTTCATCTGAAGCGATGATCCCCTAAGAAGGGATTCTATGTCAATATTAATGTTTTCTTCTAAGGAATTTTCAATAGGTAAGAAATGTTCTTCAACCAAAGTTGAACGACTATTACTCTTAAACTAACAAAATCTTCGTCCGTTATAGTTACAGTTTTCCTTTAAAGTTCATGAAAAGCACTATTATCATGAATTTTCCCGTGTTTTTTAAACCAATAGTTACTTTTAGAGCTACTTGAACAAAAAATAGCATTTTAAAGTTCAATATTTCGCAAACGGATTCCTAAACCGAAAAATATTCTTAGAAACCCAAAAGTAATTTTTAAGGACTTTTTTTCAGCTAGGTAGACAAATTACTCTACGCCACCTGGTGTTAAGTGGTGATAAAGTCCAAACGCGAAGCTAGCTGGTACAGCCGTTATAAACTGCTACACCAACCATTCTCACATTGCCAGCCTGCAAAAATGCTTCTTCACGCCTCTCTTAAAGGACCCCAGATTATAGGAAAGTGGGAAGACGTGCGCAGGTAAAGAATTACAATTACGAATAGTACGATAAATTTCTTTGTTCGTGTAGGAATAGTGGCCACAGTAAGTCAGTGGCAGAGAAGGCCAGCGCGCGAGGTCCTCTGAAGAAAAGGTGATAGAGGGATACGGGAGAATAGCTCCTCAGAACACTCGCCGATATCCCACACGATGGGGTAGATGATGAAAAAAATCATCCCCAGTTTACATGTAGGGGAGCTCTCCAAAAAAATATATATTTCAAAAGTTATTCTACCATTTTGTCGCCGTGATTTATATACATATCTCCACATCATTACAGCTCTCTAGTTCCAATAGTCTCCAAGCAAAACCAGGGACGAACAGACGGACATGACAAAACTATGAGGAATCCTCGTCAGGACATCGGAACCCTAGAAAAAATTTGATTGACGTCAGGTAAAAAGAACGGTCACACCGAAAATATAAAATTGAACGTTAAAAGAGAGAGCTTTGTTCTTCATTTTGACATGGTTTTGGCGCGTGAAGTATATTTAATCAAGTACACTTTTAATCATAATATAATCTATAGATTATATTGGAACTGCGGCCAAATAAATGCGTGAACTGAGCGAACGAAGCGAAATAAGTCACGCTAGAGCGGCTGCCGAAGCACACGTTCTTGAAGTTTTAATGTTTAAGAAGTATACATACAAAGAAAAGAATATTAATCAATACAATGCCACCCTTCACGAGACAAATAACACAGACGAGTTGATTCCTAATGGTCTATACTTCACATACGGTTTTACTCTAAAGCGTATAAAAATCATCGTATGGATTGCAAAAGTCACAACTCGAAGACTCTTTCGTAGGACGCGACGCGTTGATTTTTGACTCACTTTAGAGTAATATCTACTATCGAGTATTACTGTATGTGATGAGTACGGACCATAAGAATATTCATTGAATTTTTTGAGTTAGTAACCAATCAAACGTACTTTTACTGACGAAACCTACTTACATAACTTTATCAAGAACTTCTACCATTTTCATACTTAAAAAAAAATAAAGTTATTCTTTATTTTGACTTTCTTTACCAACTATTCAATATAAATATTTACCTACACTACCCTTGTTACTGTAAACATAGCATTATAGGAAGGCAATATTGTTATTCGTGAAATTACCAGGCCACTGAAGCCTTCCTGTGCTGCAATTAATACGGCACTCTTGTTAGCTTTGCTCTTTGCCACGTGACTCCATTCCACACGTAAGTAGTGTGTTGACGGGGAAATATCGCTACTTGTGGTAACTGGAAAATTCGTTATTACTTTTCAAAATAATTTGAAATTACACTTGTTTGTTTCCATTTATTCCATGAACTTTATCTACTGCATTATATGCTTTTTAAATGAATCACCAAATTTACCATCCACGTATGAAAAAGTATCTGTTTAATGGAAGTTTCTGCTGGTGAGTAGGGTAGGTAGGGGATTGGGTTCAAGCCGGCAAGGTAAAGATGGCCACTTTTTACATCAGGTGGAATGGGGTAATTTGTTGCGCCTCGTGTTTAAAAACTATATCGGGGTGTATAATTTGTTATTGATTTTATTTTTATTTTCAACTCAATTATTTGATGTTCCTCTTCGATTAAATTGGATGTGTCATTTTTATTATTTCCGGAAAAACAGTGTTGTATTGATATCGGCTCTATGAATTCAGTAAAATGTAAGATATAAATATATGACAAAGGACAATGGCGAACTCCCATACATTTTTTGTTGATTTTTTTTGCGTCTATATATGAATTGCATGTTAAATTATAGAGTTTAGATTCTCGATTTGATTCGTCTTATTTCTTTTATTATAGGAAGTCTGGATTTATAGATATTCTACTTTGAAGTTTTTGAGGTTATGTCATACCAAGTAATACAAAAACGAATTGTAAAAGTATTTTCAAAGGTATTTTTATATCAAAATAAAAAATACGTGGAACGGAACTATAGAAGTATACTGGTCCCGTAGATTAGTGACGAAAAAAATGTTTTTTTATAATATATAATCAGTGGCGTAGATACTGACTGGCCGCGTCAAAATACTTAATAATACTTATCAGACAAGGGTTGTTGAGTTCGAATACAGTGTCTGTGCTGTAAGAAGACGATTGAAATCTTTGGTAAGAAGTACTTAACAATTTGAAAATGCCCACAGCAATAATAAAGTATAAAAAAGGATTTCTAATATGGAATATTAATTAAATATGAAACACTTTTTATACCTATATTTTTTATTCCACATATTCAATCACAATATCGTAGATAGTAGATAGAATGAAATAAAATCCAC